TAATAATTAAACCACTTTTTACTCACTGATGGGATTTTATTAAACATAGATCATATTTTTCCAAACATTTCAAGATATTACCACCTTTTATTTGAGGCCTACCTTTGCCACTTATTAAAATGCAATTTTAATGTTTTGTGGTTTTTAAAATAAGAAAATAGTTATCTTCAGTCACCATAGAATAAAAGAAAACAGACTTAGGATGCGTTAGGTGGCATTCAAATTCGAGACATGGCGTCTTTTCTAGAAGTCTACATGGGTTTTGACATAATGCTCTCACCTGCGGTTTTATCAACTAGGAGGTAGAAGCAGTGGGTTATGACACACTATTTTAAATCTGACACAGTATCTAGGATCCCTCTGCTTAGGCTCTGGGATAGTTTGGAGAATGGGTGGAGAGCTCCCTTGTGGGGCCAGCTCATTCATCAGTAGTTCTAGAGAGAGCCCGCTCCCCAGGAATCAGGGAGTCTAGACAAGTTCTCTGGCCTCTCCTGCAAGCACTGGGGTTACTGGAGCAAAAACAAAATCCATCAGAAGCTGGTCTATGGTTAACTGAAACATGGGCTTCGGTCAGAAACAACTCAGCCTTGAGGATGGGGCTCAGGAGAAAGTTGTTTTTATTGGTGAAATTAATTTATGATTATAGGATATAAAACAATCCTTACTATGTGTTGAATGCTATAAACTCCTTGAGAGATTATGGTGATGATACACTGTGTAAAGAGACAGAAAAATTACAGTAGTTGCAAGATAACAAAACATCTTTCAATATCTTGCTATTGCTTAGATTTTAAGTGCTTCTTAGAATGGATAAGCTAAATAAAATCTAACATAGTTCTAGCTAAAAGTCATAACACTTCTGATGGAAACTGTTAGATCAATTCTGTAACCAAAAGGACAAACAGTTTAAAACTGCCAGGTATCAGTATTATTGTAATATTCCCTTTATCAAAAACCTATAACTGAAATTTATAGGTAAGAATTTACAGTAAGCAGCAGGTACTTGGAAACTTGTCCGTTAAGGTTTCTCATTATAGAAGAACTTCTGCTGTAAGCTTTTTAGCCCTCTAAAGTCAAGAAAATAAAAAAAAACACCAACTTTCACAATTAGTTTCTAAGGAAATTATATAAAGGTCATGACTAAGAGAAAAGCTTTAAATTGTCATTTCCAATAGGACATAAGACTCCTGAGGAAAATAACCTGTTTTTTTTTGGGGGGGGGATGGAGGATATATGTAAATAACAATCAAAATCTATTTTCTTGATTTATTTCTAAAGGAGGTAGTTAACTACATCTCTTTAAAGTGACTTCATTTCCTGCTGCTCCCCCAACCTCCACAAAATTGAGAATACAACAAATATTTGCATAGGTTTATTATTCACATTCAATCATGAATAATTCACTTTGTACAGACAGCTGGGTAAACAAGAGATTTGGAGTTTCCTTTTTCTGGAATATTTTTCCATTGGCCGAAAGGAATCAGCATCAGTGGTGATTTTATATGATTTTTAGTGCCATCCTGTTTTCTTTCCTCTGGGAAAGAGACCCCTTCTCCATCCCTTCTTTCTGTCAGTTCTTGGGCTATGTAATTTTTTAAATTACATAATGAGAAAATAGCTTAATCATTCAGTTTTTTAGCCTGTAAGACAACACAAAGTATATGTTTCTCACTTTCTACAACATTAGAGTTTTTTTAAGCTATGGATTTGCTTTTGTGTAGAAACTCTCTTAATGATGGGAAAAGATCCTTCAGAACTCATTCTGCCTCATCGCTAGCTCCTTCATATTTTTCTCTCAGCCACTAACAATTTCATAATTATTTGACTATCCACCACAAAGCCGATTCTCGTTTTCCTCTGCTCCTCCCAGGCCTACGTGAGGAAGTGAAGCACGTATTACTGAACACAGGTTTACCCAAGGCATTTCAACTCCTGGGCAAGCGGCATAATTTACCAAAGGTCAAGTGTCCTTCCAGTTCTGTGAACGTCATTAATCAAATTGTAATTGTATAACCTGTAGTTTAGGAGAGAATTAGGCTTGCCATAATTCATCTATGACCAGATTTGGGGAAGGGGTGGTCATAGTATATCCTTGGGAAATATCTGTTCCTTGTCATGGCCTAAAAAATAACTTTAAGAATTTTAGCCACCAACCCAATGTCGTGTGTCCACCCTAACTCTATTAGTTGAGGATAAACATAGACCCAGGCATATATGTGTCCTCTATTCAGCAACAGATATCATAATATATGAATGTCATAGAATGGCAAGGAGCATTTCAAAGAAAATTTACCACCAATTTGACTAAATTAAAAATTAATGTTTTCTTCATTTAACAAACACTTAGATCTTACTATGTGTTGAATGTGTTCTAAATACTTTATACATATTATCTCTTTAATTCTTATAACAACCTTTTGAAGTAGATACAATCCTTATCCTCATTTTACAGACGAGAAAACCGAGGCACAGAGAAACTAAGTAATTTGCTTAATGTCACCACAGGAAGTGGTAAAGCCAAAATTTGAACCAAGTAGTCTTGGCTCCAAATTCTGTGCTTTTAACCACCATGCTCTGCTATGAGTCCAATATCTGCTTATGGTAGAAAGTTTGTAAAAATAAGAAAAGCAGAAAGAAGAAAAAAATTACCCATAGTCCCACCAGCCATTTTAGTATATTTCCTGTGTGTGTGTATGTGTGTGTATAAAAGCATTAGTGGACTCTCTCTGTGTATACACACACACACACACACACACACACATATATTCTCATTTTTTTTTCAGTTAACTATACCTTGTGAATATTCTACCATAGAAACATATTAATTTGATCAAACATTCAAGCTATTTTCTTAGTCTGCTTTGTAAGCACAGGCCCAGCCCAGTTTGGAAGCACTTATGATTGGTGGAATGGGGTGGGGTGCAGGGCTGCTGATTTAGCAAATGCCTTATTTCCCCAGGCTCAAAGAGCTGCCCTGAAAATGGACTAAATATAATTTCTTTTAAGCAACCCCCCCCCAAAAAAAAAGTGTTTTAGCCTAGAAACGTAGTGTGACTTTTCCCTTCAAAGCACTTCATGTTGTTCAGTTTTCTTAGGGGCAGCGTTTGGGGTGGGGGATGAGTCTTGATGCAAAGAAAAATGTAGGCTAGTCAACAGGAAACCCAAAGTCCTTGAGACAGCACAGTGGCCTCTAATTGTGCTCAGCATGGCTGCTTTCTCTTTCTTTGATAGGTGTTGCAAAAATAATAATAACATATATACATTTAATTTACCTAGTAAACTGTTACTATAGCCAAGATATTAAAGAACAGTCTCTGAAGCCAAGACAGTAGTGGTCATTGCTATAGCTACAGCTCTTGGCCAAGTCACATGCCACCCTGTCAACAGCCAGAGAGGTAAACAGCACAGAGATATGCTGACCTAACCCCAAAAGCTCTCAGAAGCACAAGGAAATTGGCTTGAAAAGACTTTCTCTTTTTTCCTCCTTGTTAACTGAATTTCTGTCTCTAATTAAAGAGACAGAAACAGAAAACAATATTCAAAAGGGAAAGTCAAAGAATGATCCCCATATCTGGAAAAGAAAACCCATCAAGTTATTAAAAATATGGCTGCATTGACCCTCACTCTGTCCCTGAGTAGTTTTGCCTATTTTCAGGTGAGGAAGTGAAAGGGGGGGGGGGGATGGCCAAGGGCACTCTCTGGGAATTGCTTTCATATGCACATAAATTTCCACAGTAAATACCTTCTGAAGTTTGCATGCAACTGAGTCTTCTTTCAGGCTTCTTGTCCAATGTTCTAACTTGAGCTGTGTTACCAGAAAATCAGGTGTATCTCCATTGCTAAGCCAAACTTGTCTTCTTTTAGAAACCCAAACTCACTAGGTCCCCTTGTAGCCATTGCAAGCAGGAGCTGTTTAAAATTTAAGATGTAGTAATAGTACCAAACAACCAAATAGATAAAATGAATTTTTTTTAAACCCAAAAACTAAGGTCAAATCTCTTTCTGTTTCAAGTGTTTTGAAAACTGGTTCTAGTTCTGTTTGAGTCTTCCCTTCTAATCTTTAGGGAGTGACAAGGCACTGGCACAGGGAACTAATCAGCTATTCCAAGGCTCCTTTGAGGGAGGGGTTCAGGGTTTGGGGAGCAGCAAGTGCCAAGGACCAGACTAGCAACCTTTCTCTAGAGGAGACTTAAGCAGGGAATAACTACAACTCAAGATAGAACAGAGCTCAACTCTGCTAGAATTTACAAAGTGTTTCTAATGCTTATCGTTTCATTGACGTTTCACGATGATCTCATGAGGTGGGTAGTGACCGCTGTCCACAGCCTGGAGGGCTGCCCCATCAGCTGCTACGGTCAGCTGCCCCGTATCACAGCGTTCATGGAGGACCTGGCTCTGAGTGCTACGGCATGTGCACTGTGGCCTTGCTCTCCTCTCTCCCTGTGTCTCCGTCCTCGGCACCTTGTCCAGCTCTGCTGTAGTGCCTTTTACTCTATTCAAAGTCTGTCTTTCTCCAGGACATACTGATTGGTTAAATGAAGCTGTTAAATAGCCCACATTTGGTTTTGCTGTGTGTCTCCATCCCTGCTGCCGTACCGCCCACCTCCCAGGACTCCCTGCAGCCACAGCTCATTCAGGCCAGCTCTCCTGGAAAACCACTTGTGACTTAAATCTAGACCTTTTCTCCCACAGTTAAATTCACTTGCCCTACGTCTCATCTAAGTCCTACATGGGGGCCAATTTGTGCTAAGAGACAATGAGATGGCAATGGCAGAATATTCTAATACCCCAAACCCCTCAGGACCACTTAACTAGCTGTGTGAGCTTGGGTGAGAAATTCCGCCCCCCCCCAGATTAAAATGGGGATGATAATGCTTTACAAGTGAGGACCAAGTGAAATCATTTGGAATTGTCTGTATACGAACTGAATTCCTTCTCTCCCTTCAAACCCTTCCTTCTACCCTAAAGTAGATTTCAGGGCATCATTCTCTCCTGCCTAGATTGCTCAACAGCCTCCTGACCAGCCTCCCTGCCTCCAGACCTGGTTCCCACCACACATTCTCCACCCTGGCCAAGGAGATCTTTCTAGAGTGTAAGTATGGCCAGGATTACCCCTGCCTAAACTTCCAGTGACTCCCCAGGGCCTCAGGGTCAAGTCCAGAAGCCTTAGTATGGCCCACCAGCTCTGCACACTCTGGCCCTTGCTCACTTCGCCAGCGCCCCTGTGCTGAGTTCCTGGCATGTACTATTTTTTAAAAATCAGAATCAATTGATAATGAATGAATAAACAAACTGTGGTCTATCCAAACAGTAGAATACTATTCAGCCTTAAAAAGGAGGAAAATTCTGTTACATGCTACAACATACGTGAACCATTACGCTAAGTAAAATGAGCCAGTCACAAAAGGACAAATATTGTATGATTCCACTTATGTCAAGTACATAGAATAGGCAAATTCAGAAACAGAAGGTGGAATGGTGGCTACCAGGGGAAATGGGAGAAGGGCATGGGGAGTTAGTGTTTAATGGGTTTTGTAAGATGCAGAGTTACAGAGATGGATGGAGGTGATGGTTGCACAACACTATTAATGTACTTATGCCGGAGGCTCACCCGAGGGGGAAAGAAAAGCAGAAGGAAATGAGGGAAGGAAAGGTGGAGGCTGGAAAGACACTTTGGAAACTGTGAAAGTGGCCCTGAGCTCACATGAAGTGCAAGCCAGCAAAAGTGTTGAGATCGGAAACTTTAATGTGGCCCTTTTGAGAGAACAGCTGTAGCACTGCAATTTCCTAGAAATCTGGATGGACACATTTAAAGACAGTGGAGCACTGAATGGAAATAACTAGAAAAGAGGCTTCCTTCGGATCTCTGAATGTCCTTGTCACAGACAAGTTGTAAGAAAGAGTAACACTAAGAGCAGGTTGAAAACCCGCTGTTATAAATTCCAGGCGATAGCTGGGAACCCGCATACCATCCTTTGTCAAAAATTGAGTAACCTGTGTGAATTGCTATGAGCAAGAAAGGAGAGCGAGGAAAGAGCAAGAAATAAACAAGGGAGGAGAGGTCAGTGCCAACTTTGGGGACTGACATTATAATGAGATTTCTTTTCCTGCTCTGAGAAGTTTATCTGGTGGTCCTCAAGTTCCTGGCATCAGGCAATTTTCCAAATGTTTGGGGCAGTTACTCATGAAGAAGCAGCCAACTCCAGACAGCTTGTCGGGAAAGGTGGAGAGTCTGGGTGGTTTTCTTACTAATCCAGGATTTATTAAAGCTCAGAGAGCAAGCAGCAGAGAGGGTTTTTATAATGAGACATTTTGCAAATAGAGTCATCAGCATTTTGATAGGAAAATTTCTCTCTGAAACTTTCTGGAGGAGGTGGCTGGCCTGGGAACCTGAGAAGAGGATGGGGCTCCTTTCTCGAACCCTATGGCAGGGAGGAGGGGGACTCCAGCAGTGGAGACTAGTTCCTTTCTGAGGCCCCTCCCTCGTACAAAGTTTTTATTTGCAGTTGGAAGGAATTGGACTCTATGATATAATAGCACTAAATTTTTCCTCTCAAATATGGTATGATATGGCATCAGTATCTCTGCCAGATTCTCGTGCTACTAGGGGAAGTTAAATGCAGGTGAACTTCACTTTATTACATGGACTTATTCTTCCAAAGCTATATGGAAATCAAATTGTTTTAAACCTACAACGTAGTCAAAGAAGACCTATTTGAAATCTTTTGTAAGTCTAAATGTGCCTCTGAAAGGTAAACAAACATTTCTGAAAATATTTTGCTTGTAGCTCTAATTTTTTTTTATTTCAGCATATTACAGAAGTACAGATGTTTAGGTTACATATATTGCCTTTGCCTCACCTGAGTCAGAGTGTAGCTCTAAATTTTGACATGTCTCCTTTGTTGCTGGAATATTCAGGATATGCAAATGTTATAGTTTAAATAAATCATCTGTCCATACCCAATTTGATTTCCCAGAATGTTATAGCAAATAAATTGGTTTCCCTTAATATAAAAAAATCCAATAATTCTGCAGCTTCCTTGGGCGTTTATCATTTTTTACTTTTTTTTTCTTTTTATGGGCACACACAAGGAGGCAAATATAATTTTTTACTTTTTAAAAAAAAAGAACAAAAATTTTTTCTAATTTTCCAAAGACATTGGAAGACATCATTTGGCCTTTGAACACAGCTTTAGCTGAAGTTTTCATGAAGGGCCAGGCCCTGAGCATCAGCTGATACTGGTTTTCCGTGGTTAACTCAATGTGTACAACTTGTTGGGAGAAGTGTACAGGTGTACTGCACAAGGCCCTGGCTGGGGACCACAAGAGGAGGGCCTGAGCCGTTCACATAGTCCATCCCAGGTGGCAGCGACAAGCCCTGAGGAGGAATAGGGTCAACAAATGCCACAGGGACTCAGAGCAGTGAGATGTCTGGCAGGAGTGAGGGAATGCTTCGTAGAAGGGGTGACTTTCAAGCTGGATTTGCAGGGGAAGACAAGGTTTGGATATTTACAGTTGGACAGGAAGAGCATTTCCTACTAGGAGGAATAGAGAAGCGACTGCCCCGAGGTATGAGGATGGAGGAGGGTTTGGTGACAGAAAATGGACCAGTGCAGCAGGATTTCCAAAAAAGAGATCCTGGAAAAGTTTCAGAACAAATTACGAATTAAAGGTTTGTAAACACTTAAGAGAGAACAGTAATTGTTAAAAGTCAAGCATGGGTTCACCTGAGAACTAGTCATTTCCTGTTTTTTATAAGGTTACTAGACTGGTAAACTGGAGGATGTTGTCAAAGGGGTTCTTGTGATTGACTGGACTTTGGTGTTTTCTAATGTGAAGTTTCTGTGGTCCTGGTGGGAGTAGCATGGAAGGCCGTGGGTCTCTTTATGCCATGCATTTCAGCAGAGCGCCTGACATAGGCTCTGTGATTTTCTTGGAAAGACTGTGGTCTGTATAAGTAAATATTCATCCCCAAAGAGAGCTAATGGTGGATCGATGGCAGAGTGGAGGGTGGCTCTAGCACCATGGCAGGGCTCTGTGTGTCCCATTTCTCTTTTCCATCTTCATTCCGTTTGCCCATGATGTAAGGAAACACACAGGATACAGACAAATATCAGATAATATGAAACTGGAAGGGATAAATAAAATGTATTCATTGCTATCTCAAGAAAGATCTTTGGGGGCTAGAATGATAGGCAAAAACAAGCAGCTGAAATACAATTAGATATCAATGTAAAATATTCTGTCAAAAAACCAATCTCTTGAGAAGCAGATGGAGCAATGACATCTTAACCACAGTTGTTAAAAAGCCCCTCTTGTGGCTACTAACATCCATTCTCCTGTTCTTCCATAGTGGTGGGGTTCCCACACAGGCTGCTGGCTGCACTGTTTCCCAGCTTCCCTTGCAGTTAAGGATGGCCATGATCTGCTTTGGCAACTGGGGGCCTTAAGAGATGGGCAAAGCCCTTCCTCATGCTCTTCCCTTGTCTTGCTGCATCTGGGACTTAACAGCAACCCAGCTCGGACCAGAACACCCCATGGAATAGCCGAGCCCCAGTTGAAAGGGGCCTGGGTCGCTGAATGACAGCAGAGAGTAGGACCACTTGCTAACCTGGATCACTCACCCCAATTACCTGAGAGAGAAAAAATGTTGTATATTCTTTAAGCCACTTAAATATTGTCACATGTCTTACCTAACCTATCATTGAGACAAAGGAGATATTAGTGCCACCAATCAGTCCACATTTAAGAGTGTGCATTTAGTTAGAAGGGTCATAAAGGTAACAGCAATGACATTTAGGGGTCTGAAAAAGTCAATGAAAAATGAAGTCAATGAAAATCTGTTAAAGACATTACAGTTGTTTAGCTTGGAGAAGAGATTTCTCCAGGGTGACATCAAAGCTGTCTTCAAACATTGAGGAAGAGGAATGAAACTGAATTGGGGGAGCTCCAGTAGGACCTATGGATGGTTGAGATTTATAGTGAAGCAAATTTTGACTCAATATTGGGAAGGAAGCTGGGTATAGTGGTACATGACAATAGTCCTAGCTATTCTAGAGACTGAGGCAAAAGATTCACTTGAGGTCAGGAGTTCAAGTCTGGGCAACGTAGCAAGACACCATCTATTTAATATGGGGAAAGTTTCTAACAATGAGGGGTGATTAGAAAAAGGCCAGATTGCTTTGCATATCAGAGCCTTCTCCCTACCACCACATCCAAAGGGAGAGGGGCCACCCACTTGTGAGGAGACCTTGAAGGGGTGATTCTGACATCATTGTACAGGTTCCAGTGAATTCCAAGATTTTATGTAGGAGAAGTAGTAAATAATGCAGGTTGAAGCCAGGTCATAATGGGAATTGGATGTCAGTTTGGACCGAATCCTGGAGGCAAGTGGAATTGTGACAGTTTCTAAGCAAAGTAGCAACCTGATCAAAGCAATCTGCTAGGAACATTGTTTTGGCCAATACACAGGGAAAAAGTCCTGATTTTTACGGCCAGTGTTGGTCATTTGGTGCTTATATTCCCTGAACCAGTAGCAGTTTAAGGAAAGCCAAGAGTAGAGAATATTGATTTTCTTTACTTTATTCTTGAGATAATCCGAAAAATATTTATGGGCTAGCATTTTTTTTTTAACTTATCTTCCAAGATGAATGATCTTTTCATTCCAAGGAACTCAAAGTACTTTACACCCTAGTTTCATTCAGGCTTGTCTCATATCTGAACGGCTAGGTCAGGGGCAAGACTTCCAAACCTCCTCTCAGATAAGAAGGACTCACAGAGAGGGGAAATGAGTTGTTCAAGGTCATGGTGAGTCAATGGCAGGGCAGCCTCCTTGACTGAGGTCTCTCAACTCTCAGGCCTGCACACTGTCCCGAACCCACTCTGAGGGTGCCCTCGTGCAGAAACATCTCCCACATGCCAGAAAAACCAACCTGAATGAACCTTCTTTCTGGAGTTGGAAATTACCCAAGACATTTAAGGGTTCAACCAATTTCATTGAGGTCACATGGGCAAAGTCCTATCAAAGACTTGAACCCAAGCCTGGGGTTCCTTATTCTAGATCTTACCATCCTAGCTACCTTACCATCTTATAAAGCCTGAATAAAACATTAGGCCCAGGAACACCCCACACGATTAGCTAGAATCAACCAGGCTATCACCATCAGCTCCACTGTCTGGAAACATAAAGGCTCATATTGGCTTTGGCCACCAGAGAGAGGAAACATTCTGCAATCCTTGAAAACTCACAGCTGAGGGGGGTGGGGAGAACTGTTTGAGCCTTGTACTTACAAAGTCAAAAGGGAGAACATGTGTTTCACATTTGTCTTGGGATGGGAAAGAAAAACTTTTCCTTTCATTTAATCTTGCTTTAAACAAACAGAGAGACTGCCCTTTTTGTAAACTCACCGAGTGTCAGATATTGTTCACTAGCATGGCATCAGCTTACTAAGCCACTACAGAGCCACTTTCCTCACGTAATCCCTTCCCTCAGAAGGCATTCGACTCCAACAGGGTCGCCTGAAATCACACACATTTCCCTCTGACGAAGTGAATAAGAGTCAGGAGACAGAATCAGCTTTCCAAATCTGCAACCTCCCAGTTTCACCCAGAGACCTGAGGCAACACTGCTCCAGTCATGACTCAGGGTTTTGTGAGGGAAAACAGGCACGACAAGTGATGTAAGAAAATTCCCCCATTCCTCCGTCCCACTGGCTTCCTCCTCCCTGGGGAATTCACTCTAAGAGCACTGTGTGTGTGTGTGTGTGTGTATGTGTGTGTGTGTGTGTGTATGGGGGGGTGTCATGTCACTGGGTGCTGACTTGCCCCACACACCTCCTATCACCATTGCCACGGCCAACGTCATCGCCTGACAAAGGAAGTACTCAGTTACAATTGCTTTCCTGTTGGCCTGTGAGAAGCTGGGATAATTGCTTTGCAATGTGTGTGAAAACCTCTTAAAGTAAACCAAGAGACACAGGGCCGGGTCTGGGAGAAAGGGAAGTGTCAAGTGGGGGAGGGCAGTGATGCAAGCCTACCTTTGAAGTCACTTTGTTTGTGAAAAGTCTGCCCGGTGCTCTCTTAAGGAAACTCCTCTGGAATGAGGTTTGTGTGCATGTCGGGTTTAGGGCTATTGTTTTTGGCTCTGATTTCCACCTCAAGCCCTCGCTAGGACATGTATAAATCCCGTAACAACAGCCTGACATGAGATTGCTCACCCTCGCATTGCATCAGGGGACTTTTACTCAGGCGGACTTTGAATGCCTCATTGTTTAATAGGACAGGAAGTTTACTCTCAATGTAAATGAGGAATCTTTATTTTTTTCCCCTTACCTCCTTGGAAGATTTTGACAGAGGCCTGCCTTGTGAGCCCTAGTCTAGCTCCCACTCCAGCTTCTTCCTTGAGAGCAGCAGCCACCAGGTTTCTTTCTCAGTTCGGACAGGATTTGCCCTGGAGGGGAATCTGGGTAATGGGTTAAGTAAGGGCCACCCAGGGACAGGGCAGGGTCAGATCTTCCGAAAAGGGTTGGATCTCCTCTCTTCAGTTTCTTCCTTCTGATCAGGACATAGGTTTGTTTATTACACAGAAGCCCCAACCCCTAAACCTCATGATGCTTTCTCTTTCCCCTTGGGACATGGTGACCAGCTTGCATTGGCGCATCAGGCTAGGACTCGGGAAGTCAAAATGCGTCAGACTAACTAACATCAGCAAGAAGACGGCTAAATCAGAACTATGACCCTACTCTCCATTATAGCAAATCTCTGAGGAGCATAGAAACTTCTAGAAAAAGTCTTGTGGGCTTCCTCATCTGCACATTCTGCAGTCAAACCCTAAAGAAAGTGTCATCCTTTCAACCCCTTGCTGAGGCCCCCAGCCTTCAAAGAAAGGGTCTCAGATATAAGTACTTTTAGTCAAAGGAAACCAGATAAGGGCAGCTAAGAGGGAAACAACTAACTTTGTAAGATAAGGAAGCCCTAGTTTATTTGGTATGTATCTCCAGAATCTTTTTTTCCTACACATCTGAAAAGAAATCAATAATGGTTTTTTGTTTCGTTTTGTTTTGTTTTTAAGAATCAAGTCAAGCTGTGGATAAGACCGAGAGATTAGTCTAAGGTTGTATTACCGTCACAATTGTCTGCTTCGTCATCAACCATGATACCTGACCGCAGATATGCTCAAGATGTATTTCTTTAAAATTGCAATGTTGACCAGAGTTTTGCACTTGCTTATGTGTCTATACGCATGTGTATGTGACTTTATTTGCACCAGGTTGGGTACAAGGAAGCAAGAAGTAGCCACCTTGCGCGTGGCCAGAGCTGTGTTCTCGGACTTGCTTTCACATCGGAGTCACCTGCAAAGCTTGAGCCACCACACACAGGTGCCTGGACGGCCCAGCGTGTCCCCCAGAGATTTGGATTTACTTGGGCCGGCCTAGGGTCTGGGCACAGATTTTTTTTAAAGCTCCTTAGGTGATTATAATGTGTTTCCAGGGCCACCACCCGCCAAAGGAGGCCAGTCTCCCTCCACTGGTCGGTAAAATCGAGCCAGGTTTGCCAGCTGCTTGCACAATATCCTCTCTTCCTTGGGGTGCTGGCGTTCTCTCATCTCCCTGGTCCTCACCCTGGCTTCGGCCCAGACTTCTGCATCTGGGACATGGCCTCTCCTATGACTATACCACGGCAAAAACATTCTCCCTAAACTGCTCTCAAGTGTAATTAACATTTTAAGTTATTCCTTCTTACTCAACAAAAATGATTGTATTTACAAAGAATTTGGTCATTCTCATGTAATGAGGTGAGAAAAACCAGGACGTGTTCAGTGACATGTGACTACTTGGCTGGACCTGTCCTCAGAGAGTCTGTGTGAGGAGCCGGTGCAAATCCATCCTGAGCAAGGCACACATAGCCACGTGTCCAGAACCTTCAGGAACCCGTGGGGCCTGGCACAGAGCTTGGCCCATCACAAGTGCTCAGCAAACTTCTGATGAAACTGAGAATGTTGTCTGCAAATTCAGGGTGCTTCCTGCACCTGATTTGATTCTGGAAATTGCAATGACTGGACTAAGAAAAAGCTCCTGCCCAGGAACAGCATTTGGTGTCACTGCAGACGTAGGGCTCAGGGACTTCCTTTCCACCAAGAAAGCAACTCAGTTGGTGGCATTATAAAGCAGGAGCCTGGGTGAGGTTGATGCTCCATGTTATAGATTATAAATGGTGAACAGGGGATTTTCTTTAATTTGTTCAGGCACCTAAGTTCCCCTAAACTCTGAACAGTACTGTTTAAATTCTTTAGGCCCTGTCTTGACCATCTCAGCCCCCCTGAGCTTGTTTCTGGAAGGAGGTAATAGACATTGAAGGGCACTTCTTGGTTTACGGTACCACTTTTTATCCTACTCAAGTATTTTTAGTTAATATGTTCTAATATCGGGTGGGCCAGGACTCTCCTAACCCCACTTCACCCCTCTATTTCAGAAATGTCTTTGTCATTTTCTCTCATCCATTAAATATAGATTTAAAAAAAAAAACAACAATGAATCATACCGGAATTTTGATTGAAATCATCATGAACCAGTAGATTGATTTGGGGCTAAAGAAATGTTTTCAATTTAATTTTTCCATTTAATAATACTTATTTTATTCAAATATCTTTTAAAATTTCCCAGTCAAATCGTGTAGTGTTCTTTATCGGGAAACTGCACAAGTTCATTGCTAAGTGGTTTATGGCTTCGGGTGCTGCTGTGAACGGGGCATTGCGATTGTGGTCCTCAATGTCTTCCTAGTAAAGATGGAGGCCTTGACCTTGGTGCGTTTATCTCGTGTCCAGTCATTTTTCTAAACCCTTTTATTAATTTCAGTGGTTTCCATCTGGTTCCTTTAAGTATTTTCAGGGTGCAACCATATGATTGTGAAGAATGTTGTTTTACATTGATGCACTGGTCAAGGGGGACAATGGGCCTATATCTTGGCTAGTGCTGCTGTAACAAAGTACCATGAACTGAGCGGCTTAAAACCACAGAAATGTATTCTCTCACAGTTCTGGGGCCAGAAGTCCAAAATCAAGGTGTCTGGAGGGCATGAGGGGGAATCTGTCCTGCGCCTCTTTCAGCGTCCTGTGGCTGCCAGCAATCCTTGGCTTGTAGGCACATCACTCCTGTCCTGCCTCTGCCTTCACAAGGCTTCCGACCCATGTGTCTGTATCTCTAAGTCTCTCTCCCTATAAAGACATCAGTCATTGGATTTAGGGCCCACCCTCATCCAGTATGACCTCATTTTGACTTGATTTTATCTACAAAGACCCTATTTCCAAATCAGATCAGAATCTCAGGAACTGGAGGTTAGGACTTCAACATATCTTTTTGATGACACAATCCTGCAACCTCCAGTGTACTTGTCTCTGCCCAGGCTACATCTAGAATGTTGGGTTCAGCTCACGAACCATGTTTCAAGCTGTAAATTGAAAACTTGCTTGTGTCCTGGTGCGGGTGACCACCCAGGGAAGGCTCTTGCATCTGTGCAGTATGAGGAATGGTTATGGGAACCATATTCAGCTTGGATCCAGGCCTTTGGAGGACTAGAATGTCTGTCTTTCCGTAGGTGCCTCTCCTCTGTGTTGTCTCACCGGGTGGCATTCAGAGGGAAGTAGATTTTGGCTCAATATAGTTTTGGCTCAGAGAGTAAAAGGATCTTTGGATTAAGGTCACCTATCAAGGGCTGTGTACCTACAGCAGTAGCAACTGACTTACCTCCTCCTTTGCTCTTCTGCAAAGTATGCACAAGGCCTGTTATGCCTGCAGGCATGGAGCCAGACGTGAGGGCGTGACAGGCTTACAGAGATCCAGGCCTTGTCCTCGGGAAGCTTGCATTCTAGTGTTGGTGGAATTGTTTCAGAACTTAGGCATCGTGATCTTCTTCGTGATGCTTGAGAGGTAAGGGGTGAGGGCTGGGGGTGGAACGAATTAAAAAGACAAAAGAAACAGATTTAAATGAACACAGGGGCTTTCCCTGGCAAGACAGTACGAAAAAGCAGGCCCAGGAGAACTTTGTGTGCACAAGGCTCGGATTCCTCTCTCCTACTTCCCCGGAGCATTCTCAGCCTTACACGACCCACCCGAGGAAGAAACACTCAACAAACAAAACAAAGGCTGCTCCGGCCACGCGGCAGGAAACCAAATTCTTCTCCCGAATCTCAGCAGACAAAATAGCCCAGGCCCTCGGTGCTTCCCCTGCTGCTGGAGAAGCTCTAAATGGAGTGTGTTCGCAGAACCAGGCCCGAGGGTGGAGGGAGAGGCCTCGGCTTGGCTGCTCCTCTTTAATGAGCCAAAGGAAGCGGGTGCCAGGGAAGTTAATCTGCCCTGAGATAGGGCAGGCCACTCCCTGAGGTGGAGAAGCAGCCCTGGGCCCAGGGCACGGTCTGGCCCAGGAAGCTGGGGCTGCCAAGGTGCTCGCGGCCAAGGTAAACCTGCTCCGCGGGGCCCAGGTGAAAGCAGGTCCTGTCCTCCAGGAAAGGACCCCGCCGTGTGCTCCAAGCTGCCCTTTGTAGGGGAAGATAAGTACATTTTTCACAAGATCTGTCACTGGTGCTGGGGAACGCCTGGTACCCAACACCAAGGAGGTGGCGAACATCCAAAGAACCCATCTGGTGGCAACCACAGTGTCCCCACCCCAGCTCCCGTCCTCTCTCCGCTTCCCCGCACCTCCTCACCGAGCATACACACACGCGTGAGCACACCTGTGCACACACGCCAGCGTGCAGATTCACCTCCCCACACGCATGTCCTCACATGTGCATGTGACAGCCACCTGCACACATACGTGAGTGTGCACACATCCGCCCTCACACGGTCTCACACAGCATAGAGCCCCACACATGCACACTCACACTGCACGCACGCTCGTCTGCACACACGTGCTCACCCCTTTGTGCCGATGCTTCACACAGAGTTGATTTGACTGTCTCCTCCGTGACAGGGCAAGGCAACGACACGACGACGGGGCCAGGTCCCAGAGGGAAGCTCGTGGCCTGGTACCCGGTTGGCAGAGAGATGGTAGCCAAGCTCCAGGCCGTGCTCCTGCCACCCACCAGGAAAGAGCCAGGGCTTTGGAGGTGGCCTGGTGACCGTGGACAAGTCACACGCCTCTCTGAGTCTTAATTTTTCATCCAAAGAAGGGGGCCACTAACATCTCCTTGGTGGCATTGAGGAGACAGGTGGCACGGGTGAGTGGCATTCAGGACAGAGCTCGTTCCAATTGGCTGCCCTGGGCCACCAGAACTCCCCAGGCCACCATTTTCCAGGGCCCCAGGCACCCTGGGCACAGGAACTAATGACATGCTACGGGCAGCTCACGTGGCTGCCGGTAGAGGCTCCGGTTGTAAGTGTGTCCCGCCGGCCGCGCCCTCCCTTTGTGAGGTCCGGCTGGCCAAGCCACGTCCAGGGCTCTGCGGAGAAAGGAGCTGTGGTAGGTGTGACTTTGAAAGTGACAGGAAAGATAAAGCTACGACAGGCCAGGTGGGAAGAATCGAAGAGAAGCTACCAGAAAGAACCGCCAAAAAAACAGAGCCCGAACGGGCCCCACAGGCCGCTGCCTGAAACATCTGGAACGCTCTGCGGGCATGAGGGGAGGAGCAGCTGCCGAGCTGTCCCGGGCACCGCTGGGGCGGACACCGTGGGACTTTTCCCTGAGTTACTGCAGCTTCTGCTGAGCCGGCCCAGTGAGCCGCCTGAAACACCGACTCGGGGATGAATTCTCTTCCCACCCACTGCTGCTTGGGCCTCAGTTTCTCACGCTGTAAGGTGGGCAGTTCAGTGAACTGAAGACAAAATATCTGTGGGGACAAAATAAAAATATAACATGATGAGTCTCAGACACCACGCCGAGTTCTGCACATGCATCAACTCATTTTGTCCTTAAAATTCTGGAGGTGACAATTATTATGCCTGTTTTACATATAGGATAACTGCTCAGAGAGGGTGTCTATCTTGCCTAAGATCACAGAGCCAGCAAGGGGTCAGGGTGAGGATTCGAACCCAGAGCCGTCCGTTTGCCGGCTAACCCCAGTGCTCTCCCGTTGAGGAGGGACAGCAATCTGCCTGGCAGCTCTGCCCACACTGGGACAGCTGGGACCCCCTGGGACCAGGCTGCGGGAAGCTGCGAGGGTGACGTCAGCTGGGGCCTGTTTCACAGATGGGGAAAGTGAGAACCAATGAGGGCGGCCCCGACTGGCCCAAGGTCACGTTGCGTCCCATATCCTCTCCTCATTCCCGGACTTCGCATTCCCTGCTGGGGACAGAATTAGGGGAAAACTTCAGGGACAGCCCCCTGGGAAGCCGGCTGGAAGGCGGGGCCAGGCCAGGGGCTCCTGTGACTCGGTGTTGAGGAGGTGAGCGGTGACGAAAGTAGTGTATTTCCCCCTTTTGAGAAACGCTTTGGCCTTGGACGCGGCCGGGGGAGGAGCGAGCGAGCTGGCGGGGACCAGGCTGTGAACCAGCTGGCGGCCAGCACCGGACCGGAAAGGCAGCTGCCCGCTCTGTTTGGTCTCATTCCCTGACTGCGGTTGCGGTCCCGGTCCCCGGGCGTGGGAGGCTCGGCCACTGCCCAGCGCCAGCCCTGCAGGGAAGTCAGAGAAATTCTGCCCCGGATCCCAAGGCAGGGCAGGGACATTCCCCGAGTACAGTTTTGCAGTCTTTGTCCCGGGGATGATCACACACCCGCCTGCCCACCCGGAAGCGAGTCTCACGTCATCGCATCAAAGGGTGATGACCTAACACGGGTCCCCATTGCTGAACGATGTCCACGAGCCAGGGACTGGGCTCAGCCTTCACACTTTCTGGCTTCAGCCTCAGCCACTGCGCTGCACGGAACCATTACCCACCCCCATTTACACACGAGGACACTGCGGTCACGGGGGGTGATGGCAATCGAGCAGGGACGCAAATCCAGGTATCTGAGGTCCAAGCCCAGACTTCCACCCACAACACTGTGCTGCACCTGTCACCACTTCCTGGTGCCTCAATGACACCTGAGCATCATTCAAGCAGAAACGGCCCATACATATCCTGGCCAGCACTGCCTGCCCCACTTTCCTCTCTGAATTGGGGACTTTGACAGAGACAGGGCCCCAGGAGATTCTGCCAGTCCCCTCCTGTTGGCCTTGCTTCCCCGTGGATGAGTCAGCTGGAATTTCTGGCCATCCCAGGCCCCGCTGCCCTGGTACCAGGAGCTGTCAGGAGGCAGGAATGCGGGGAATGTGGCTCTGAGTTCTCCCACCGCCACCCCCCTACCAGGCGAGGTTTGAAGGTGAATGACACAATGTTTGTCAAGAGGTTGGGACGACAGGTGCATGTGAAGCTGAGGACAAAGACTGATTCTGTTCTCAGGCTGCCAGCACAGTTTCGCATCCTCCCACACACGTCCGCGTTCCGGCCGGGATGCGGGATGCCCGGTGCCCGGGCTCCGGTGAGGGCCGAGAAACCGCTGATTAGGAGGCACCAGGAAGAAAATGTCCCCGGTTCTTTTTTTTTTTTTTTTTTCAAGACAGAGTCACACTCTGTTGCCCAGGCTAAAGTGCCGTGGCGTCAGCCTAGCTCCCAGCAACCTCAAACTCCTGGGCTCAAGCCATCCTCCTGCCTCCTCCTGAGTAGCTGGCACTACAGGAACACGCCACCATGCCTGGCTTGTCCCAGATTCTTAAAAGTCAGAAGTTTGACCTCTTCGCCCACCTGCCATCCTGAAACATGACTGTGAGGCTGTCAGTCTCCTTCTCAGACGCCCGTATGCACCCGCCACGGGCTTTTCCAGCACCTTCTCTGTGCGGGGCTCTGTCCAGGCGCTGCGTAGAGGCAGTGAAGAAGATGGGGACAGCATTGTCCTTCTGGAGAGGGGTCCAGGCAACAACTGCGTGAGCCTGAGATCACAGATGATCAGAGTGATGCAGAGAAGCCAGGTCTATTGCTAAAATTAAGGCAAAGGAATGAAGTGAAATCGAGCCCCAGAGCTGTGTGCTGCCAACATGTGTCACCTTAGCACACATCATGTCCCCATCTAGGTTCTCTTTCCCTCCCACCCTTCCAGGAGCCGTGGGCCCCATCCAGTCCCTCCCTCGCCCCTTGCCCTGTGGGTGTTGAATCACCTTGTCACCTCTCTCAGGGGTTGCGAACCCCTCAGGGGCAGGAAGCATAGTTATCTTGCCGCATTCTCTGGACACACAGCGCCCCAGAGGCTCTTATTTCAGTGCCA